GGTGGCTGCTGCAGCGACGAGTGAAGCCACTGTCGACGCCAGGGCTGCTTCGGCCGCTTCTGGTGCGGCTGACGAAGATGGGACTGGAGATGACGGGGAGAGGTCGCCGGTGGCTAGTGGCGGTGGGCTCCGGCAGCGGGTGCGAGCCAGCGGCAGCCGGTGCGGCGAGGCAAGCGGGGTGGCTGGAAGCAGTGCCATTGGGAGTGGTGCTGGTGGGGCTAAGGGGTGAGTTTTGGAGCTAAGCTAGGGTTGTGCAGCATTGGACGTGCGTTCGGTCACGAAATCCGCGCCAAGTCAAAAAATGGAGCTCGGCTAGGGTTGCGCAGCTATGAACAGGAGCGAGTTCGCGCTGCGCTAGGCTCAGACGGCGAATTCGCGCTGCGCTAGGCTTAGTATTAGTATTACGGCGAGTTTCGGCTTTCGCGCTCCGCGGCCTCTGCAACGCTAGTAAGTAGTATAGGCCGGTCGGAGAAAAAACTCTGACATTTTACGAACTCCTTGGCGACGCGCGCGCCGCGTCGCCAAGGCTCAGCGACCTCGGTCGTACAATCGGCCGGCTGCGCGGGTTTTCGGCGAGTTTCCCGCGCACCGGCCACGACGGACCAACCAGACCAAAAATCGCGACGCTCGCGCGCAAAAATCAGCACGGAATCAACGCTCACGACGCTCTCGATGATCTCGATGATTCGAGGATTTGAGGATGGTGAGGGGTGAGGGTGAGGTGTGCCCCCCCTCCCCCCCCCGCCCGGCCTCGAACCCGCAGCCAACCGGCCCGAAGGCGAACCTCTGACCGCTACGCCAGCCACCAATGCACAAACCTCGACGCCACAAATTTCTGAACCCCATACACCCATGCACTCAGCTCACAATCAGCACCCTACACAGTATGATTCCCGCGCGTCTCACCTCCACCGTCGCCGCCGCCCTCGCCTCCGCCCTCGCCGCCTAGGGTTAGGGTTAGGGTTAGGGTTAGGGTTAGGGTTAGGGTTAGGGTTAGGGTTAGGGTTAGGGTTAGGGTTAGGGTTAGGGTTAGGGTTAGGGTTAGGGTTAGGGTTAGGGTTAGGGTTAGGGTTAGGGTTAGGGTTAGGGTTAGGGTTAGGGTTAGGGTTAGGGTTAGGGTTAGGGTTAGGGTTAGGGTTAGGGTTAGGGTTAGGGTTCGGGCTATGGGCTATGGGCTGTGGGCTATGGGCTATGGGCTGTGGGCTATGGCCTGTGTGCTGTGTGCTGTGTGCTGTGTGCTGTGTGCTGTGTGCTGTCGGCTGTGTGCTGTTGGCTATTGGCTGTTGGCTGCGGGCTCGTGGCTCGAGGAGCTCGGAGGTGGGAGGTGCTGTTGGCTGTTGGCTGTTGGCAGTGGGCTGTTGGCTGTGGGTGTATAAGGCACACATGCAACAAGGCCTTAAAACCAGAGCAAAAAGTCAACGCCGCCATCTGCACTCCGGCTGGCTCTCAGCAGCGACTGTCTGGCCGCACGATAAGAGCTCTGAAGACCGTAAAAAGCGTTTTCTATCACCAAAAGACGTGGCCACATTGTCAAACACTATGATGCCCTTGTTCATCTAGCAGGAGGGCGATTGCCAAGGGTAGCTCGGCCCAAATTGTCGCGATAGCCGAACCGGCCAAAAACGGCGCCATCAGCAGCGACTGGCAGACCGCACAAAAACACGTTTATCAACCAAAACAAGGCTGGTTACCGCGAAAGCAAGACTGGAGGCGCGCAGGTGTGTCTGGCTAGCCAGGCTGGACCCCTCGCAAACGACACCCAGCACTCGCGATTATGAGGCGAAAATCGGCTCTCAGCAGCGACTGGCAGACCGCACGAAAACGCCTCTGCCGACCGAAATAACGATATTGTGCGCAAAAGCAAGGCTAAACAGGCGGGATCTGATGCAAAGCAAGCATCTCCAACATCTAAACCATCCACCAGAAGATTGCATCGATTTTCCATGTCAGCGGTCGAGATGGACCGGGGGGGCGTTCGGTCGCGACCGGCGACCAGAGTGGTCGTGACCGTGGTCGCAAGTTGGCGACCACGCGACCAGAGTGGTCGTGGCCGTGGTCACAAGTTGGCGACCACGCGACCAGCTGGCCGTACGTTGGCGACCATATAGGGTTTTTGGTCGCGTGGTCGCTGGTCGTATGTTGGCGACCACGCGACCAGAGTGGTCGTGGCCGTGGTCGCAAGTTGGCGACCACGCGACCAGCTGGCCGTATGTTGGCGACCATATAGGGTTTTTGGTCGCGTGGTCGCGTGGTCGCTGGTCGCATGTTGGCGACCACGCGACCAGAGTGGTCGTGGCCGTGGTCGCAAGTTGGCGACCACGCGACCAGCTGGCCGTATGTTGGCGACCATATAGGGTTTTTGGTCGCGTGGTCGCGTGGTCGCTGGTCGCATGTTGGCGACCACGCGACCAGAGTGGTCGTGGCCGTGGTCGCAAGTTGGCGACCACGCGACCAGCTGGCCGTATGTTGGCGACCATATAGGGTTTTTGGTCGCGTGGTCGCGTGGTCGCTGGTCGCATGTTGGCGACCACGCGACCAGAGTGGTCGTGGCCGTGGTCGCAAGTTGGCGACCACGCGACCAGTTGGCCGTATGTTGGCGACCATATAGGGTTTTTGGTCGCGTGGTCGCGTGGTCGCTGGTCGTATGTTGGCGACCACGCGACCAGAGTGGTCGTGGCCGTGGTCGCAAGTTGGCGACCACGCGACCAGCTGGCCGTATGTTGGCGACCATATAGGGTTTTTGGTCGCGTGGTCGCTGGTCGTATGTTGGCGACCACGCGACCAGAGTGGTCGTGGCCGTGGTCGCAAGTTGGCGACTCGACGCGTTCAGCCCGAAGTTACTTAGTGACGGTGAAGGAATGAGCTCTCGAAAACAAACACCATTCTGTTCAGAATGGCCAAAAGGTGCCAGAGGTGGCACAGTATGACTACGTAATAAACGGGACTAGAGGGCGGGAGGGTTGGCTTGGCCCCCGCGAGCTTCGAAGCTCGAGCTTCGCGTGGTCGCTGGCCGTTCGGTCACGACCGGCGACCAGAGTGGTCGTGACCGTGGTCGTATGTTGGCGACCATATAGGGTTTGTTGGTCGCATGGTCGCTGGCCTTATGTTGGCGACCACGCGACCAGAGTGGTCGTGGCCGTGGTCGCAAGTTGGCGACTCGACGCGTTCAGCCCGAAGTTACTTAGTGACGGTGAAGGAATGAGCTCTCGAAAACAAACACCATTCTGTTCAGAATGGCCAAAAGGTGCCAGAGGCGCAGCCTCTGGCACAGTATGACTACGTAATAAACGGGACTAGAGGGCGGGAGGGTTGGCTTGGCCCCCGCGAGCTTCGAAGCTCGAGCTTCGCGTGGTCACTGGCCGTTCGGTCACGACCGGCGACCAGAGTGGTCGTGACCGTGGTCGTATGTTGGCGACCATATAGGGTTTGTTGGTCGCATGGTCGCTGGCCTTATGTTGGCGACCACGCGACCAAAGTGGTCGTGACCGTGGTCGTATGTTGGCGACCACGTCGCTGGCGAGCTAGGGTTACCTTGGGGGCTACGTTTATAGCGCGACCAGAGTGGTCGTGACCGTGGTCGCAAGTTGGCGACCATGTTGGCGACCATATAGGGTTTTTGGTCGCATGGTCGCTGGCCTTATGTTGGCGACCACGCGAGCTAAGGTTAGGGTTAGGGATATGGCTGTCGAGCTAGGGTTAGGGATAGGGATATGTCTGTCGAGCTAGGGTTAGGGTTAGGGATATGGCTGTCGAGCTAGGGTTAGGGTTAGGGCTATGGCTGTCAAGCTAGGGTTAGGGATAGGACTATGGCTGTCAAGCTAGGGTTAGGGATAGGACTATGGCTGTGGAGCTAGGGTTAGGGTTAGGACTATGGCTGTCGAGCTAGGGTTAGGGTTAGGGCTATGGTTGTCAAGCTAGGGTTAGGGTTAGGGCTATGGCTGTCGATCTAGGGTTAGGGTTAGGGCTATGGCTGTCAAGCTAGGGTTAGGGATAGGACTATGGCTGTCGAGCTAGGGTTAGGGTTAGGGTTAGGGTTAGGGTTAGGGTTAGGGTTAGGGTTAGGGTTAGGGTTAGGGTTAGGGTTAGGGTTAGGGTTAGGGTTAGGGTTAGGGTTAGGGTTAAGGTTAGGGTAGGGTTTAGGGTTAGGGTTAGGGTTAGGGTTAGGGTTAGGGTTAGGGTTAGGGTTAGGGTTAGGGTTAGGGTTAGGGTTAGGGTTAGGGTTAGGGTTAGGGTTAGGGTTAGGGTTAGGGTTAGGGTTAGGGTTAGGGTTAGGGTTAGGGTTAGGGTTAGGGTTAGGGTTAGGG